TGTAGGAGATCATAACCCCCAGGTACTTGCTACAGGAGACCCACTGGAAGGCGGGGAAAGATTTGTTGGGCCCTATGCGCCATCCGCGAACCTGCTCGCCCTTGGAGTTGGTGATCCAGCAGCCATGTTTGTTCAACACGTTTTGGGATTCTCTTCCCGCTAACTTCACTAAGATGACGCACTTGCTAATGTTGACGCGAAGGCGATGTTTGCGGACCTCTTCAAGTAGCGCTGCGATGAGAGCATGAATGGCCCTGAGGTCCTTGTCAGAGCGGATAGTCCGATGGAGCGTGAGATCATCGGCATAGCCAGTCAGGAACTTCAAGACCTGCTCAGCACCGAAAAGGTCGACCAGAGAGCGGAAAAGGTCACCTGTAAGGAACGAGAAGAGTGTGGGGGCGAGCTTACATCCTTGTTTAATGCCTGCTGTGGTTTCAACAGAGGTGGAATCTCCCTGCGCGTGAAGAACGTAACGAGACCCGTCATGTAGAGCCTGAACAAGGTGGACTGTGTCCTGATCGGCCCCTTCTCTCTGAAGAAGGTCGATGATCTCTTGGCGAGAGACTGTGTCAAACGCTTGGCTGAGGTCGAGAGCAAAGGTGAGGCCGCCGACTAAGGCTGGGGCCTGTGTGCCTTGTTGCAAGGCATGTCTCGAGGGGTGGGCCTGTTCTAACAGGGATCGTGCCTCACGCAAGTGATGCACCACGCGTTCTAGTGCGTCTGACAGCCCCCGACCTGGTAGATAAGCGAACTGTGGCATGTGCTTGAGGAACGAGAGGGTCAGTGGTTGAAGCGCTTCTCTGGCCGCTCCCGCCAGTCCCTTAGCGTCAGGTCGAAGGATACCCAAGGGTCTCAAGTTTGCTGGTTTATCAGAGGGCTTGCCCGGCTTGGGTATTAAACAGAGATCTGCGTCTACCAGGTCGGATTCTAGACTGTCCTCGGCCTGCTTGGATGCTACGTGTTCGGAGAGGACCGGTGCAACGAGATCGCTACACAGCCTCCATACAGCCGCTGGTGCCGCTCCGTCAGGAACAGCTTTGTTCGGCTTGATGGAATGTATGTGAGCTGCTAGTTTGGGTGGCTCCAAAGCAGGGAAAGCACCATGCATGGTCCGTAACGGAGGGTGGGCCGCAAATACCTGATTGGCATAATCCCTGAGGGCTGCTAGTTCCTGCGCTGGGCCTAGGAGATGTCCTGTGTTGTCCTTTAGCTGAGCTCTGCGCGCGGGCTGCCAAGGCTGCAGCTTTTTGAGGGTCTGGAAGGAGATATGTTGATCACCTTCAGCTAGACTCGCATCTACCTCCGATATGAAACTTGCAATTCGATCTTTCTTTGCTTGTTTCACAGCTTGGCGATGTGCCACTTGTGCCAGCTCAGCTTCTGTTTCCGGCGGACGTGGCGTGTTCCGATTAGGAGGCTGTGCCATTGCTTTAGGTGACTCGATCAGCTGTGCTGAGGGAGTATTCGCAGCCCTGTCATGGGTGCGGGCCCGCCACATGCGACGGGTTTCCGATTCCAGCAGAATCGGTATTCTTTTGGGAATTTTTGGGAAAAAGCGTTCTGCACCTTCCAAAAGCAACGCATTCCATGCCTTGGGGTCCTGGCAGGTGTCAATTCTGGAAGCTATCCAGCTGTGCAGTGCCTTTGCCGTCTCGTCTTCCTCTCTGACCGAGGCCTGTAAAGCTAGTGAATCGTAACGGCGCGTGCTGGGTTTGTGGGATGGGAGCAGCCAGTGATGCTGGAGGGGTACGTCAGCTTTAAGCGGGTAATGCCCCCCTTTCTTCCAGCTTCCCAACGGGCAGTCCACCCAGGGGGCTGACCTTTTTGCTTTGCCTCCCGCCGTAGATTCTTTGGTGAGAATGAAGTCAATTTGCGACTCCACTCCTCCTTGTGAGAAGGTAGCTATATGGTCACATTGCCAGGTGTTGAGGGCAACCAAACGCAACCTGAGCAGCAGGTTAAACAAGTTGAATTCATCAGGGCGGTCCTCAGTAGGTGGCTTCACGTGCGGTCCCACCAATGGAGAGCGCGGACGCAAGGAAGTGTTAAAATCACCTGCTACAATAAGGGAGTCCCTCTTAGGCACCTGCTTGATCACCTTGGACATGACAGATAGCACCTTAGCACGGTCGTCCTTATTGGACTGGATGGTCTTGGCAGAAGACCAAGCGTGTTGGTACACCGCGACAACAACCAGCCGAGTACCTGCAATGTCCGCGCGAGCTTCTAAGACTCTACCCGGGCTCCACTCCTTCCAGCGTAAGCTCTTGGGGACGAACTTGGGAGAGAATAGGATCATGACTCCATCAGCGCGAGTCGTGGATGGGGCTCGCGGTTCTTGCCGAGTGTTTCGCTTTGCTGCTTGTTTAGGCCGGGTGTTGGGTTTGGTAGACTCCGAGGCTGAGGAGATACAGTACCACCCAGAAACGCTGAATTCGCTGGTCTCAGTCCAGTGCGTTTCCTGCAATATGAGGATGTCGCAGTGATGAGAGGCTTCAGCTGCCAGCCATGTTTTGAGTTCGCCCCATTGCTGTTGGCCTAGGTGGCCCGCGTTCCACGAAAGAACTCGAATGGATCTTTCCAACCTTCCTGCCCTGCGGGAGGCTGTGCCATATGCAGGGGAGTCAGCAGTCTGTGACTGAAGCTCTCTTCGAGTGGGTGGGGGGCGCACCCCTAGACGATCAACCAGGGTAGGTGTCAGAACCTGCCCTCGGTATGGTACGGGCCCGTCACTACGGACTGTCCTTCTACATGCTGTCTTGAACGAATTCTTACGAAGAGATGCAAAGTTTTGTGAGTGCACTGGCAATTGCGCCATCCGCTACTTTCGTCAAGAGACAGAAGCCTAATGACTCCCTCCACCGCGCGGAGGTGGAAACCCTACCGCCTACCCAGTGTTGCAATGTTTTAAACAGAGTCTGGGCCCAGGAATTGGGACCTGGCGGCTCAAAGCAGCTCCTGTGAGAAAAGGGAGAGGACCATGGCGTAGAAGGAGGCACAAACCTTTACTGTTCAGAAAAGGGCCCGGTTGGAACCTCTAGCACAGCAGTTGCGCCCCAAGCCTGTTCGAAACCTCTCATTCAGCGCGGCCGCTTGAGCACTTGTGGCGGCTACTACTACTACTACTACTACTACTACTACTACTACTACTAGTACGAGTACTACTAGTACTACTAGTACTACTAGTACTACTACTGCTGCTACTAGAGGCAAAGAAAACCCACTACTGCCAGGCACGTGTCCGGGTACTCGGATGGTGCTCCAATAGCCCGAAAGAAAACACAGGATTCTTCTTGAAAGATCATTTCTTTGTTTTTTCCTGATGCATGACGGTTTTTTGGTTCCCTCACTTCTCCAAAACGAGGTTGGTGTTTGTCCTTGGAAAGCGTCGCCGAATGGCTCATCGTTGCTCTGTGACGCAGCAGCAACACAAGGCCAAAACAAGGCTCCTTGCAGTCTGCTGCGAAGTGAATGTGTTCTTTGAGGTATGCCCTTTGGGTGCTCTTGGCACCGGCTACCTGGCACAACATGCACAGCAACGAGTGCTTGTGCCAAGCATCGCTGAGCCAGCCTGGCCTGCTCAATGCATTTCTGCCATGCCCAGCAGATGCCATGTCAGAATAGGGTTTGAAGATTGTCGGACTTGGTCGACAGGCAGTCGGCATGCATTAAGCAAGAGTCTACTACGACAGCATGTGGCGATTCAACACAATGTTAGTGTGCGCATACCGCGTCATGTAGCTGAGAGGCTCGTCATGTATGTTCTGTTGATGTTTCTGTGCGAGAAAACAACATTACCAGGTGGGAAATCTTCACTTGTCCCAACATTGAAAACCCGGCATGTGCTAGGGCATGGTCCTCTTGTCCCGCCGCACAATGCGGGATCGTTCTGACGACTCAGAAAGCAAGCCTGGGGAGGGCATCGACGAAGGTAGCCGTGTGGTGGTCCTGAACGGTCGGCACTTTCCGTCGTTCGGCGCAGGAGATCAAGGTCGAGTGCTGCAGGTCGACAAGGAGGCCCTCAATTGCGATGTGCTTTTCGACGGCAGTTCGCGGCCAATCCCTGTTGCGCTTCGGCATCTCAGGTTGCTGAAGGCAGGTGGCAGTGGCTCGCGGGCACAGCTGCCAATAAGCCGTGCCTTAGACTTCAAGGAGGGCGATGGTGCCAAGAGCGTGTCGGCTGAGATACGAGATATTCGTGGACGGGCCGAATCGCGGGCACTATCTGCAAGCCCAAGGCGTTCTGTCAGCATCTCCGTTGCGGAGCCTGTCTCAGCAGATGCCTGCCGAGCGCGGGACGCCCGTCCACCCTCCTTCCTGCACTCCATGGACCAGCGGCTGCAAGCATGTGAGGCTGCCTTGGATGGCTCCAAACGCATGAATTACAGGATCGTAAAACCAGGGGAGGATGACATGGTGCGAAGCGGTGACATGAGTCTGCTCGAGGATCGGATCTCACGGCTTGAGATTCGCATCAAAGATGAGGTGGATGTCCTGACGAAGCGGCTACAGCAAGCGACGTCTTTCGGCCAGTCGTGGGAGTCCCGAGCGAAAGCCTTGGAAAGACACATCAAGGGTCTGGGTCATGTTCCTCCGAGTCCAGCGCCCTCGTCTTGCTCTGGTCTCTCTGCACGTGGATCGGCTCCGCTCTACTTGTCAGCGGCCATCCCGCAGCACCGGCTGTCCGCCACGCCCCCGGAAAAGAGCACCATGAATGCCGTGCCTGCTGTGCCTCGAATGCCTCCAACTCCTTCCACCGGACCTTGCGTCAGCCGAGCGGAACCACCTGACAGCTGCTCCACGCGCGGCTCCGCGGCGATGCCTGATTCCCGGCTCTGCATCAGATGCGGTCCAGGTTCGGGGCCGACAGCCAGGGAGCTCGAAGATCCTGGCAGTACACGCCGTTCTCTGTCGGCGACTGCGGCACCAGGACGGACACCTGCAGTCTGTGGAGCAGCATATCTAGCACATCCACAAGACACCACACCCCCAAGGGTTCGGCACATGCCAGGTATGCTCCAGCCACAACTTGTGCCAGCAGCTGTGGTTCGCGAAGTCGATGCATATGGATGCTCTCCAGCGAACGGGTATGTTGCAGGACCTTGCTTCACGCCTCCGCAAATGCTTACGCCACGATTGGTGCTTCCACAGAGGCCCTTCGGCTGAAGGTGCGCAGGAAGCCTGGTGCCTATGGAGCTTTCAAATGCTTTCAGAGCAGGCGTTCGGAGCCGGGTCTGGTGCTGACTGAGCAGCGAAACGGACTGCCGGCTGAATCCTAATTCGTGTACAATGACTCTTGCAGTGAAGTGTCGCAAGGTTGGAGCCTTTGCTATAGCCAGTCAACTACCAGCCATCAACGTGAAAGGACTACGTGACGGAGTAATTCCCGTACACTCATAGGTTACTCATGGATTATTGCTGGCTGCAACTTGCCAATGCCTCCGCTCCAGAAATGCAAAGTATGCAAAAACTTTGAGAACGGCGGACCGGTCGCACACATGAGCGCTTATAGCAACTTCAGCCAAGTCCCTCTCTCTGTGCCGAGGTGGCAACAACTCTGCCTTGTCGAGATGCAGGGCGCAAGTCCCATGAAGCAGTTGGAGAGACAGCTGCTAACGAGACTCGCAACGCATATTCATGACAAAGCGGATGGATGTTGGTTGTCGTTGCTCCTGGCTTTGAAATTCACATGGTCCGTGCACGCACCTCAGAAGTTGTCATTGAAGCTAGCTAACCGCAGCTGTTTTCCGCAAAAAGCCGAAGCTCCTTCTGTGCTTCTTGTCGCAGAGACTGGGCAGCAGCTTTTGTGCATCGGTGCCGTACAGCCTGAAGCTGATGAGCTTTCATTTCAGGCGTTGGAAATGGCTATGGCCACTCGGAAAACAGCAGAAGCTTAGCTTGCCAAGGGTGGCTTGCAGCAGGGGTTCTCTTTGGGAGGTCGACCTACCTAGCGAATGGCACGAAGAGGCGGCCGAGACCCACGCAGAGCCCGGGGCCCCAAAACAGTGGCGAGGCCCAGAAGCGGGGGTGCCCTGCCTGTCTTGGCCGCCTCTGGCGCGAGGATGTACGAGGTCACGCCAGAGTACGTGAACCTGCTTACTGCTCCGACAGAAAGCTACCTATGTGATTTGAGTCTTGGCTCTTGACCTGACTAGACTCGACATGGTGCCATTTTGAGCGTCAAGTTGCAAGATCCCGGCGATCGGCGCTAAGGGAGCACAACATCTACAACCTTCAGTTTGTAACTCGGCAACATTGCACCATTCCGGAAATCTGCATCTTGTTTGTTCAAGACTCGCCCGTCAAGCCGCACATTGGACGTGTCTTTCAGTGGAGTAAAACCCCAACCAAATCTGCATCGGGAAGCTTGCCGCAGACAGACTTCCCAAGCTTTCTCTCCATTCGCAAATGCGGAAACCACAAATTTTGGATGCATCCCTGAAATGATTTGGGGCATCTCGGACGGACTGAAGCATACATGCATGGGGCTGTTCCTCATCGTCGCAAGGTTGATTTCAGAATCCGGTCGTTGGACGAGGGCAACGAAGGGGTCACTGCCTCGATCGGCACTAATCGTCGCTAGCACCGATGCCACTTGCTACAGGTAGGAGAGCTGTGAGGTGCTTTTTGATCTTGGTGCTGGCGACCGTCCGTCTCCGATTCCACCAGAGCTCAGCGAGGCACACTCACGCTTGCGTTGGTATTTCCTTGTTACCCCCACCATGTGCAGAACACCGGCCGATTTATCCGGTACCATTTTGGTCCCCAGATGCTTGGATCAAAAGGTAGCACACGACACTGGTCCTGGTTCGGTGGAAGAGCACGGGAAGCGCAGTTCGCCAAACCGAAGAGCAAGAGAAGACCACCAAGTCGGCAAGGTTCCTCGACATCCAAACGATTGGTACAACTCTTGAGTTCACCAATGGTCGCCTGCCTGCACATCCCTTGCTTCCTCGCTGTCTACGTCTACGTGCGGTCGGCAGACCCTAAGGTGACTATGAGGTGCAAAACTTCCGAATGATCGAGCGACATTACTTTCGTGATCAGCTGATTACTAGCTGCAAAACGGCAATTGAAGCGAGCCGATTTGCCGTTGCGACATTCCAGGGTAGGCATCTGGTTGGCAGATTTCAAGGCTATGACTTCACGATGCCCTTCGTAATCCCGAACACCAGGATGCTGGGCTTCGTGTCAACACAATCGCTCTTGTTGACCGCTTTTGCTGTAGAGGAATACTTGGGAGATGATTTATACCAAACCGGAGCTCAGTGACGAGTGGAAGGTGCCGGGACAGCGTGGAAGCACAGTTCAGTGTCTCTGTTTGTGTCCGGTTGCAGGAAGCACTGATCAGTAGCCCCTGGGAAGTTCGATCTGATAGCACCTCAGCGGACCATAGCGGACCAAAGGGAGGAGAGGCTTCTACTTGTCTGGAACAAGGAAGCGATGTGGTGTGATAGAATCGCTTGATCAACCTGATTCCCCCACAAGCTTCATGTACGTTTTCTGAGGCTTCTACTTTGTCGACGGGCGCCTCGTGATGCACAACCGTGCAGAGCATTGTCTGCAAGAAGAACGTCGACCCCTCGTGTGCGCATCACGGAACAACGCTGCCCGATTCAGACCTAAGGAATACAACTATGGGTATTGAAAGAACCCCAATGCTGCTTGTGCGTGGCACTGCTCCCGAAACAGAAATGTTTGCGGACCCAAGACGGGCCCTTAATTGGTGTGGATGTCAATGCATCCTAGTTGTTGGCACGTGTCTGAGCGAAACTTGCGGCAGAGGTGTGCCCATCAATAGGTTGGACCCACCTTGCGGTTCGATAGTGCCCGCAGTTGCGAGTTCTGCACGAGCACATGAAAAGAGCAGGTGGAAGGGCAACGCCTCAGTTAGGCCGAACAGCCTTTTCGCGTTCGCATTCGTGGTCCGAAGTTTTGACGGCCCCGGGCCTTGATGCGGTCTGCAGTCCCCTTGCTGGGCCGCAGAGTGTCGGGTCCTCAAACTGGAAGCGCGGCTCTGCTGCCAGCTGCCTCCTAGAGAGGTTGCCCATCTCACGCGTGCGGTGTACAGCACCGGCGAGGCGAGGAGAACCTGGATCTTGGAAGCGCAATCTGAGCCAGAGTTTCTGTGAGGACTTGCAAGCGTATGGCGACAGACGGCAAGCAGAGCACGGCGAGGATTGGATCCAGGGTGTCGTGGTAGATCTCAACATTGCGCTGTTCATGCGCCGTCACGGTCAGCAGGTGGCCGGGTGTTGTGCAGGAGAGACCTGCTCCAGCAGATTGAAGCTGATGTGCAGAAGAAGTGGGAGAAGCAGAAGGCCATGTTTCCCGTCTGCTGCGCTTCATGCGCAGCTTGCTTTCTGGATTTCTTGATACATGAACTGTTGTTCGGATCATGGGAAACTCCGTGAAATCCTGACTGCATACATGCTGGCAGATCTTCGATTGCAATGCTCCTGACAGCACCAGCGAGAAGTTCATGTGTACTTTCCCATATCCGTACATGAGTCTCGGCTGTATTGCTGAGCTTTATGGAGCATTCGCCTCTTCTTCTGGCCTTAATGCGGGCTTGACGAGGAATGGCCTGCTACACATCGGCCATGCTTTCTCCTTGACGACTCATGGTCGCAAGCATTGCCACGCAAGAACTTTCCAAGTGTCCAGGGCCTTCGTATCCCAAGGAAGGCAATCTTTGCCGCGCACTTCAATCGCTTGCTTGGAAAGAAGGTTCATCAAGCGAGATGACGGCTAACCCACGGCTGTTGCTCGCCTTTTCTTGACAGGTCTTATTCCCTTTCGGCTTCCATTGTACAGGCATGCCAATCCAGGCATCCGAGCTCCGGGATCCATCGTTGCTTTTCTTTAATTGTCCGAGACTTGTGCAGGCTGCAGCCAACAAGCTGGCGAGGGAGTTGGCTGCCCATTTCGGAATGCCACCGTTCACGAGACCACAGCGCCGTATACACGCCCTTAGGTTCGACGTGTACGGCAAGCCATATCCAATCTTTCCGCCCGGACGTCCGCAGCCCAAGGCTCGAGAGCTTTCTGTGACGATCCCCCTCCACCTGCGTGCTGCTCGCAGGAGTCGTCGCCCGACGTCATTGAGATCGATGATGACGGCGTCACCATGCAGTGGAAGCCCCCAGCATCCACGGGCAAGAAGGCAAGACAAACCTCCCAGTGCTTTCAAGCTGCAATGGCTTGGACACAGAGGCAGTCAAAGAGTATGTCGTGCACATGAAGGCTTGGATGACCTGGCAACTCTGCATTTCATACACTGCAACATTTCAAGGGCAGCTGCTTGATGCCATCAGGTCCAGGATCAAGACTTCAAGGTCGTCAAGAAAATGCCACCCCCGAGCCCTGAGGCATCCGGTACGGAACTCTGCAAGAATGGGATTAATGCTGATACCTTCTTGGAAGACGGTCTTGCAGGAACTCAAGGCGGCTGGCAACAAAGTCCGGACGGTTCTGCCCATCGAGAGTGGAGGTTGCATCTACAAGGCAGGTGCCGCGTGTCAGCGGTCTGGCCTGGCCGAGTTGGCTCTTTGGAACGCAAGGTCGTCGCCGTCTTGGAGGAACAGCAACGGAAGTCTGCCTTTATGATTTTGTTGTTTCCGTACATGACGCGAGTTGCCAGGATGGCTCATCATGTCCTCCCAGCCCAGAGTCAGATCAAGTTTCTGTTGATGCAGCACCCAAAGACAAGAAGAGTGGCCTGGCCCTGATGCTGCCATGCCTTCACTGCGACGGTAGTCGCAAGCCTCGGTGTCCCGAGGCGCTGCAGGTGGAAAGCGTGTGGCAAAGAAAATTCTGGCCAAGAGCGGTGACGCGGCATTCCAGTACGAGATCATGAAGGACAGATGTCTGTCATGTCAAGTACCTGCATGCAGTATGAGCTGCTCCAGCATGGCGTGTTGCCTATGTGAGAGGCAATGGGACTGTCTCCTGAAGACATTCCCAAGTGCTGTGCCCAGGATATTGGCATGGGAGACGTGCTGGGGTGGGGCTTGCTCGCTCTGTGATTGCTGCATCAAGGTTCGTTGATCCTTCATACTGGCCCCAGCCCAACCACTGATGCGCGCGCGTAGTTGGCATACAGCGTATCGCCGGAGCTGTGAGGCTGCAGTATTTTCCGCCTCTGGGTGTCCGTGATCTGAAACGCCTGGGCACGCCGGTCGACTTCCGCCGATCGCGGAATGCTGAGTGTGTAGCACCCATGTATCAGAAAATGGTGCAGTCTCCAGAAACACGTCGTGAGGCGAGAGGTTTGGGTATGAGTAACCATACTGTACGTTCCTGCAGCGATGCACCAAGGTTCATCACGACATCTGCAAACAGCTTTTACGCCGCGGACTTAGTTGTCGGAATATGTCCGAATACGTCAGTCTCTGATGACGTGCTGTGCGTTCACAGGATAGCTTTATCCGTTGGCAATTCAGGAGAACCTGACTAGCCTTGCAGCTGACATGCTTCGGCTGACAATGCATCTTTGCATGGTAGCCAGGAAGCTGAAGCAATCCGAAAAGATTGGATTTGGAAAGAGACCGACGATTTACAGCTGCTTGCCTGCACCCTCGTCCTCCGCACAAAGACTTATGCCCACAACCAGTGGGACCCGTCCACTGAGGTGAGGTGGATGGACAGGCCTGCAAGATGTTTGGGACCTTCTTTTTGCTGGTAGCTCAATCCGGCGCTCGCTTGAGGCATGCATGGACCACGATCGAGCAGAAGGCGAGGGTGTTGGACCCCAGGAGCGGGAAGTTGTCCTAGCAGCGCACATGATGGAAGAATTGCAGACTTCCAGCGTCATTGATCACGAACCTAATGCATTTGCGGATGCGGAGGTCGCGTGATCCCAGACTCTGACCGTAGGCTGAGCATTCCAGACACATTTCCACAGCATGCCCCGACGCAGTACTTCACATGCTGCAATTTGGAATTCGGAGCGGTTCTTGACCCACTTGCACCTGAAAACTTTTTCTAAGCTTACTCCAAGCCGAAGCGAACTGAACCACTTGTCCCATTTGCTGTGCTTGCGACTGAAGATGGGCATGGGGGGCAGGGGGCATACCAGCAAGCAGCGGACGGCAAATGCTGTACACACCGACCCGCGCTCTTCTAACCCATTTGTCAACCAGATGCACACCCCAAGTCCCATGCCGAACTCTCAAATTCAGGCCAAAACTAAAGCAACATCTCCACAATGCAAAACTCCACAACACGATCCTTATCCCACACCTCCCTCCCTTGCTTTTACACCAATTCTCAAGCCCCTGACAAAAAGCAATCCTGCTAATTTGCAGCACCTCCCCGTACCCACAACAAAACCCAAAATCCAATCTGAGAAACACAGCCAACCCAACAAACCCTGCCCTGCACCACTCCTGAGGCATGTCTGGGGTATGCCCCCTCCCCCCCTGCTAGAAAATCAGTTCTAAACCTCAAGTTATTACCCGGATGGAGTTAGTTTTCACTTGTTCAAATCTTCACTTCTGCGGACTGGCTAGATCGCCGCCTGCTTCAATGATGCGACGTGCCTTCAGAGTTTAATACGAGCGTCAGGTTTGAGGGTTCAGGGGTATGGGTAACAACAGATTGCCAGGTTGCAACCACGGACTGCATCACACTTGCTTGTTTGCAGTGGCCGCAGCATAAGGCCGTTCATCCACGATTTCCGTTGTGAGCTACGCAGCTTCGAAGCGCCCGAGCAATGACAGAAGTAATCAATTAACAGCGCATACGTATGTCCACATCGCTCCGCGGCATGAGGCAGCCCTGTCGGTTGAAGGTTGGAGACCAAGCTCGACAGGTGACACGTGCAGGGAATAATGTTACATTTTTGTGAGTTTCTGAATATTCGCATGTAGAGATGCATGCAGCATTATGTTGTGCAAAATGCCACAAGAACACAACATTCAATAACCCAGGCTCCGTGTTTACAGTGTGTCGACAGTTTCGCATGAACTGATTCAGAAGGGGAACACGTTCCCAACGCAAAGCTGATACCACAGATTGACACGTCTTGGATGTGCGCAGAAAAAGCATGTCACTGTGTTATGGGCTAACATAGCAATGGAAGCGACGTCATTCAGAAATTTGTGTCTCACAGATCTTCGGGTTTCTCTGTTCTCCAAAGGACTGGTTTGCAACCTTTTCGTCTTAAGTGTTTGCGGTGTCGCGATCGTCGCCTACTTCTGTTTCGGGGTATGCTGCATGCTTTGTTTCGTTGTGCTTGCAATATTTTTTCTAGTCACCTGCGAAAACAATTTTAGTATATTATTAACAGTGTTACATGTCAACGGTATTTACGATTTTCATTTGCGTCAACGTGCTTAAGCGGCATCACTTCGCATGTTCTTATGAACCTCGTGGCGAAAGTGCAAACCTAGAGCTAGCAGCTAGCCACTTTCGAGGAGTACACTGCCATCAAGATCGAGCTACTGGAATGGACGGACATGATGAAAAAGTTCTTTGCAGAAGGGAGCAAGGTTTCACGAGGGACTGCCAGCCGATGTGGCGCAAATCGCTGCATGTTGTAGGTTTTCTTGCTGGTGCGGCGTCCTGGAGAAGAGCGCGAGTGGCGCACTGACTTCAGTTCCGGCCAGTTGCGAAAAACCGAGGCAGCGACCCTGAGGGCCGAGACCATGCCTGGACAGCTCTGGGCCCAGAGTCTGCCAAAGTTTCACAGACAACATGTGCACTGTAACGGCCTTAGCTTCAGAGATGCTAGCGACTGCCAGTGCTATTGTTGTGTCAAGGACCAACTGCTGGATTCTGCCTTCTGGGCAGTACGGATGCTACAAAGGTCCTGGCTTGGAAGTCTATGCCTCTCGGCCGAGTTTAGCACCTCCATCCGTTGAAAGGTGGGGATTTCATGAACGTCTTCCGTTTCACAGGTGTGTTCGCATCGAGCTGCTCGCAATATGAGCTTTCAGGATCCTTACAAGCACGTCTTAAGTGATTAGATTCTCTAGAGCACTGCATGTGCGGGCAGGATATCTTGCAGCCCTGGGGCAAGCCCTACTGCTACATGGAGGTTTCAGGCCTCACAAGCACGAAAGCGTCTCATCCCTTCGACGAGCAGTCGGTGCATCGCATTGCTGGAGGTCAGGAGCTTTTAGGAAAGAAGGCCGTCCAAAAAGAACACTGTGCTGTGGAGCTGCTTTTCGCTGCTCTTTGCTCGTGCAGGTCAAAGCTCCAACCACGAAGTTCGACCACGTCTTCGTGCTGCCGCTGCCTACGATCAAGATGGACAAGGCTTGTACTTGCAAGAAGGAACTGCTGTAGGCAGCGGTATAGGGGCACATGCAAAGAGTTCCAGGGAACCGGCGTCGTCACCAGCGTCCCGAGTGACTCACCTGATGACTATGCTGCCTACATGGATCTGATGAAGTCAGGTGGGTCATGCAGTCTCGTGTCCACAGCCGTTTACTTGCGGAAAGTGCGAGCTCGAACTGCGGCTGTCACCTGGGCCAGACAAGAAGCGAGAGTTCTTCGGAGTGAAGAAGGAGTGGGTAGTGCCCTTCAACTTGATCCCCATCATTGACGCTGGAGCCCAACTTTTCTGGCGTTTCATGCATGGCGCTTTCATGTTTGAGTTTAGTTGACAAGGTCGAGATCGATGGCGAAATTCGGAGCATGGCCGCACAGTACATGTGGAAGCCTTGGCTGTGAGCGTCGGAAGCACTACAGGTCACAGTCCAATCTTCAGTGCTGAACTTGGAACTGCGTGCGAAGAGGTGTGAGAAGCTGGGTGTGCAGTCCATCAACGACCGGGTGAAGCTAGCAGAAGCTCATGACACCTGCTGCTGGGCATTGTTTGCTTCTTGCAAGTGCAGCTGATGGGTTTGGTGGCCAGCGCTTGCATGAGAACTGCAGCGAGGCTACAAGCTGGGCTTTGACAAAGGCAGAAGCAAGAAACAAATCGACAGAACTGCACTCTGCAAAGTTAGGAGATTTGGTGCTGGGCAAGACTGCAATTGCGGCAGGTGTTATGTCGACTGGGCCTTTCAAGGGTCAGCCTGTCAAGCGACTCGGCTGCGATTTCGCGAGCCGCTGCAGACGCTCGATGTGCGACGCAAATTTGGGATCTATCATGATCTGTGCGTTCTGTCGTCTGGTTTTGTTTCCAAGAGCTTCGGTGATTCTCCACGCGTTCATTGTGGGCAATTCCCATAACCCGTCTCAGCCTCTAGGGGTTTCCAGCTTCCATCAACCACTGGCTGAAGGAAAGCCAAAGTCGAGTTCAGAAACGTGAAGAGCCCAGGTGTTATGCCCTTGAAGCCATGCTGTCTGCTGTATGTAGCGAGGTCATGATTCAGGCAAAGCAAGCGTTTACGTACTCAGAGCCAGAGAAGAAGGCAGGCTCCCACTTTTGGACTGAAGAACTGCTAGCACTTGTCGCTTGTGCGTCAGGTAGTTTCAAGATCGGGTGATGAGTGCGTGGTGGCTGCAATTGATCAGCCAAGAGCTGAGCAGCCAAAACCAGCAAGACGCACAGCTTATCGCATCATCGCCAGATGGTACTTGAAGTATGGTGAAGAGTCTTGGAAAGGACAGATTGAGGCGGGGAGTTTTCAAATGTAGAATTCGGGAATCCGTGTGAAGATGAGTCCACGGCTTGGCATCGGAAGGGCCATCTGCAGAGCTCCAACTTTGTCAGCAGCACTGATGCATTTTGTACGTCTGGGATGTTGCCCAAGCAGTGATCTCGGGTGGTGAGGCTACAACGATCGCATCAAGGACTGCACATGTCCGGAACTTTTGTGGCGAAGGGGAAGCCTGCATGAGCCACTGGCAGGAGTCGTTCGAGGATGCAATTGGCTGGCTCAAAGAATGGGCATGCAGTCGCCGTCCACTGAAACATGTTCGGAAAATTCTTGACGTAGCCAAAGTGGCCTGATACCTAGGATCCTTCGGGCTGGGCACGCAGGCACTCATGCCCGGGTTGCCACTTGTGTCGTGACGAATATTGTCGAGAGTCTCGGGAGGTACCTTGGGACGAGCAATTTGTCATCGAGTCACTGCAGGGATGCCCAGACTTTACACATCCCATTGATGCTTTGCTGCAAGCGACGCTCCTGCTTGCCAGGGAGGCACGGCCCCCTGAAGCTAGAATAGCAGAAAGCTACAAGAAGCATAAGCGCCCGCCAGGCCTATGGATGCTTGGTGAACGTTTTCGGATGGAGGGTTTCTTTTCTTTTGTTGGTTCTTGGGGTGCTTGCTGACTTTCGTGATATTTCGGCTCCTTGATCTCTTGGCTTCTCGGCTTTCTGGTTCTGTTGGTTGGTTTAAGTTTAAGCGTGTAGTTTCGTCTTTTGCGTCGATTCACAAAAGCCAATCGACCGAAGACAATTTGCAGTGCTTGTCTGCTTCGATGCGTGCCGATGGGACGACCCGCAATCAAAAAGCCCCCGGGGGGCCATGCGGCTTCGTACGGAATCGCGGAACATGTTTGAATGCCTTTTGACTGTTCTTGCAGGGCCGGGGGGAAAGTCCACAGAGTTGAATCCTGTGCATGTTGACTTGCTGGGGAGGCAAGAGAATAAGGCAACGTCGAAAGCAACGCAAGCAACACACAAACGGCGTGGGCGTCGACATGAGAGATGGCTGGTGACGGGATGTCTCACACCCAGTAAAACGTCATCTGCCGATCCGAAGGGTGGCTCCTTCCCAAGCCTGAGTCTCTCTCTGCGAATCAACCGACATAGGGATGCTTCGTTTGATATGAGGAGTTCATAACAAGGTGCATCGGGCTCTCTATGTCTCGAACCAGCACGTAGCCCGTGGAAACAGTATAAGTAGTTAGTTGCAGTGAGTGTTCACTTGAAGAGTAATTCGTTCAGAACATGTGCAATAGCCGGTTTTCCAGGCACGGCAACGGAGAAGAACCATGCAGATGAAGTCTTCGTGGAATACTGTTTCTTTGCTGACGACCTCGCGCTACGTCAGCAGGGAGTTGCGCCCGTGTGAGCAGAAGCCTGTCGAATGGTCCGGGGTCAAAAAAGCGAAAGGGAGCTGCAGCGCAAGCCAACCTCAAACAGCCGTCTATCTGGAGCCTTGGGCCGTCCTTGACGGCTGCATACGTGCAGTGCTGGGAGTTATGCCCGGTGGGCATCATCTGAGGAAGCGTGCGAAGCTTGTGGCAGTATCGGTATGTTGCAGTCTTTATGTTTCGGCCATTGCTGAGCCACGAAGCCTGTGACTGGACTTGAATTCGAGGCTGTTTTTCAGGTTTCGCCAAGAAAGCGAAAACGTAGTTTACAAGTATCACTGCGCCGCCCCAGTCCTCCTCAAGTGTCATGTTATCGCGCAGCATCATGCTACAATGTTCTGTTTTCTTTCTTGTTTTTCACACTTGCTCCTTGTACTTCGCTGACGTTTGCGCAGACACCAGCGTGCACGGTAATGCTCGCGAGCGACAAAGACAATCGAAATCGTTTTGGCTCAAGTGATCATGGCGAGGCATGCCCACCACCGTGATCGAACCGGCGCAGCAGAAACGGCACGAATGCCGGAAGATGGGGAACCCGAGGGCCGGACAGGAGAGCACTGGAAACCCAAATGTCGCAACAGTCTCCAGACTCCGCAAAGTCACTTTGATCCAATGATTCTCAATGATTTAACTCTCCTGCCGTGCCTTCCTCAAGATAGATGCTTTCATGTTGCAGTCTCACGATTGGCTGTCTTCTTTTTTCGTGGATTCAGGCTTTACGCTTGCTTTGCTGACTTGTGCCCGGAGCAGGTCAGATAGCACTATTTACATGGCTTACTACACGGTGGCACATCTGCTCCACGGAGAGGACGCCTTGGAGTTTGCGGAAAGAGTACCATGCCATGTTGCGTCGGAGTCGTGAGGACAACTTGGATGGTGGGCAGGGGAGTCCAGCCAAGATTCAGGCTATCTGCCGCAGACTGTTGCATTGTCGACTGAGTGGCCGCGAGCACCAGTGCCAGGCTGAGGATCTTACTGACGACGTGTGGGATTTTGTTTTCCTCAACACGCTGCACACTTATGTGGCGTTTGCGGAGAATGTCAGCTCTCCGTTCTGGTGCACCTACGGCTCTGTAGAATAAGGCCTTTGCCGAAGAAGACTAAGATTCCTCAGAAGACACTGGAGACTTGATGCAAGACATGCTGAGTCGGGCGCAACGTTCAACTGTTCGGATCAGATCTGCTTGGTTGCGAGATGTTTTTCTCGCAGGAGAAGATGCGGAAAGAGTTCAGGCATCCCCCAGAACCATGTGCTTTGAAGAGATGGCCGACTGCCCAATGCAGGTTCTGGTACCCCATGGACCTGAGAGTATCCGGCAAGGATTTGATTCAGAATCATTTGACTATGGCCGGAGGCTTTGTTGCTTTCGTTCGCTTTCCGGATGAGACCGCATAGGGTGCACACGCCAGCATGTTAGGCTCTGTACAACCACGCATGCGTTTGGGCTCGTGCCTTGAACGTCGCGGGTTGCCGTCGCACGTACTTCTCATTGACTCATTGATCTTATCAGGAGAAGGAGCCCGAACTCTGGCCGAAGAGCTTCTTCTGCAACGGCTGGTTGTTAGTCAACAACGTGACTCCATTGCAAACAGAAGCAGAGGTCTTCAAGCATGGAGAAACACGAAGAGGAACGGTGTATCTCGGTGACCAGCGGTCCCAGCCCAGGAGAAGATGTCCAAATCGAAGGGAAACTTCTTCACAGTGGAGGAGATCATCAACAAGTGCTCTACTCGTGCGAGTTGGCGGAGATTGAACCTAGGTGAAGTGCTACAACTTGCCAAATGCTTGTGCCAGTTACTCTGCGGACACGGTCCGCCTTGCAATGGCAAACTCCGGCGATACACTGGAGCCAGCAAATTTTGACCAGACAGTGTGCCTTTTGGTTGCAGTTGCGCTTGTGATGGTCTGCGGTGGGTCGGGGAGCGGATCCTGAACCAATTCGTAAGAACATGTTTGATGTCTCGAGGTAACAAAGCAGTACTCACTCTGGCGGTCTTTTTGGAGACCATGAAAGCACTCGTCAGCGGCAGCGAGCCGCTTGATGCAGGTGCTCATATGCGTCAGGGAAGCAAACTGTGCATTGCAGCGTCTGGCAAAACGGCATCCATCACTGTTTCAGAAGCCAGTTGAGCTTGAGCAGGTAGCGAGAATACGCGTTTCGTGGACAAGTGGTTTGCCAACGAAATGAATCGCCTGGTGTTGCTGCCCTAGTGGAGACTCGGAGAAGCCCTAGTTTAAGCCCTTGTGACAGTCAGTGCAGGATGTGGTTTGCACCCAGGTTGGAGAGTAAGAGATTCTATGAGACGATGTGACCCCTGTCGACTGTGGGCCGTAGTATCGCACTACACCGATGGAGAGCGAAGCCAGCGAGAGTATGATACGCTGCATGGACAGCTAGGCGAGCAAGTCTGGCCACGCCTGCAAATCGTATCTGGCCTAGGTCCGAACTGGACGAACACTGGCACAAGCACAAGCTTGCAACAAGATGCTACACCAAGGAATTTTCCCGAGTTCGCCACAGGTTATGAGACAATCGCAGCCGTTGAAATCTCGGTTTGGGGGGAACGAAACTGCTTTGGCTCCAATGCCGAATCACCCTGGAAACATTACCGAAGCCACCGAAAAATGTGAAGACCGCGAGCCCTGGGTTCAAGGACCTCAGGCCTGCGCAATAGCCTTGACAACCCTATAAGGCTCTTCAGAGTGGCTCAAGGCCAGCCTCCATCCCATCGTAGAAGCTTCTAGCAATGGAAAGACAAAGAACACCACCGGGAAGGACCCACGGAAGAAGCCAACCGCCGGAAAACCAAACACGTAACAGCAAAACAACAAGACAAACGGGGAACCTCTGCGAATTGAGAGGACTGCTCTCATTTATCTCCTCCGTTGCCCCGAAGGAATTTATGTAGATTGTGCACCGCGGGCCCTTCGCCGACTGGATTCGCACCCGCACACTGGAGTGCTGTGAATGGTTCCGGGCATCTTGAGAGAGCTGGGAAAGCGGCGGATACCACTCGTCGTCGCATCGTCTGGTCGTCATGGGCTAGGGTCCTGGCCCTATGACAATCCAGCTGCACGCGATGTCGTGGCCCATGCGATTGCGAGGTTTGATCCCTATCACGCTTGATGGCAGGTACTGCACGCAGGTACGCACTGCACATGGCTGGTGTCGCTGGTGGGGGACCAGTCCAAGCTTCCCATCCGTCCAATCTAAGACGTGCGTGTCATCCCTCGTGTCGATCGGGATTGGTCATACACACCCAAGCGCACACGCGCTTGCCTGCATCACGTGTTGAATCTTGCCGCTAGCTCGGCTGATGGGCAACGTTGGCATTGCAGGTACTATCGGGAAGCTCTACGCACATGCTACTTCGAGTTCACGTCCGTTTTCGATCAGCCGACCGCTCTGTAATGAACTCCGCACTACGGATGATGATTGTTGCAGTTGCGAAGTGTGGAAGGTATCGTGACATTTGCAAAGCTGCCAGCTGTCGGCCCAACAAAGCTTTGACCATGCGGCTGCCTGGTTGCGCTCCTCTTGCAGGAAGTAGCGCGATACTTTGGTTGCACTGTCGTCTGAGGTATCTGGAATGGCAAATGATAACACTGTCACCAATTTGCCCCAGACTTGTACCAGCGCTTCTTGCATGCTCTCGAACTCAAGCGACTCAACCCGAAGGCCCGCACTTCTGCGAGCACGGTTGGTCCACCGTCCTTGGAAAGACGGGATCGGTGTTGGACGCGAGGTTGGATGCAGCCATCCGCGACGATTTGACAGTTCGTGTGTCCATCATCTGTCCCTGCAGGTTTCCAGCTCCGACAGCTCAAGTGGACACTTCCCTGTCCAATCAGGGCGACTACATGTTCAACAAGGCTAGCTTCTTGCTGGACGCAGTGCAAATGCCTAGAGAGGTCTTGTGCCTTGTAGACTGTTGCAAGTTGTCGTGTGCATGAGGTGCCCCACGACTTCATCAAGCTGCCTGGAGCACAGCATTCTTGGAAAACTGCTTGAATATCTTGTAAGCATTGCTGGTCAGTCCGTTTATGGGACGCTGTGAGCAGGCTGGAGAAAGCAACCAAAGCCGGGACGGCAAAGTCTGCCGTTGTCTATGTTGCAAAGGCATTCGGCAAGGGTGTTTCGGGGACGCCGGGGTCTCGTGCGTACAGCTGGCAGGAGTTCCCTGACTGGAAGAAGCTGCTCGCTGCAAGACGTATGCTTTTGCACCGCCCGGTGGGCGGGGGGTGATCTTGCCGACACTGAGGACAGTCTTAGCGAAGCTCAGGCTGTGCACTCGGAAGGCTGCGATGCAGCGCGTTGACACCTGCTACCGCAGGTCGCGACATGGTGCCGGCAAGTTACCCCTGGTGTCTCAGGCCCAGCTCCGAGATGTGTGAATGCCGGTACGTGTGCATCTTTCCCGACAGGAAGACATGAAGGCGAACCCGGAAGCCTCTGCGCAGTGGAAGGAAATCATGACAGAGTTGATGCAGGACAGTGTGGATGAAGGGATCTGAAGGGCTAACCCGCCAGCCATGCCAGATGCGCAAGGACGCGTCGCTGAAACCCTTCGGCAAGCATCTGGGGCCCTTCGCTGCTTTCAAACGAGACGAGGCCGGAGACGGCGCATGCACTGCGCGTGCTGCGCGTGCTCTGTGCAGACTCCGCGAGGCTGCTGCATTTGGAGCGAGTGCCTTAGATGCATCCTTACCGTTTGATGAGCTGGCCCTGATTGCCGAGAACGTCCGGAGCCCCGGTTTGGCTGAGCCCCGAACCCACGTAATTCACTTCGGGGGCAGGTGCCATACTTGCAGCAGAAGTTGCAGGCGCCGTCGATTGTGCTGCTGTGCCTGGTTCTCATCGGCCGTTTCAGGTGCAGGTGGAGGTGTGCTCAGCCGAGTCCGCCAAACCTGACCACAAGGCTAGGGACGGTCCCAAAACATTCTCAAACTCCGCAGTTGTTATGCCATGGCCTTGCCTCATCCGCAGGATGCAGCTGGTAACTCACAGCAAGCATCCCGGAACCTCTCGTTTGCCATTGGTTCGAATTGATTTTGCTCCAAGGCCTGGGAAGCCCGGCATCCACTTCGAAATTGAAAGCAGTTGCTTGTCTAGTCATGTCAAGAGATGTTGCAAGTCGGAGCTTGAACACGTCGAAGGCAAGACAGGTGGTGGTGGAGGTAAAGCGAAACCAGCTAGCTCCTCAACTTCTTGATCTGTCTGTTAGTGCGAGCCCAAGGCTGCACAGTAGTCGGATGTTATCGCTCAGGCAGAGAAGGCAGAGAAGGCGACCAACGGCAAGGCTGCGCCAAAGGCTGCAGCCAAGGCAACCTCGCAGTTACTTCAGAGGCACTGCGCCACCCCACCGCATCCGTTCGAGCAGTCCCGTTCAGGCTGAAACCATCAGTGACCTCAGAAAGCTGAACGAGCACCTCAGCACAAGGACAGCTCGGATGCTTGACATGTTTTGTCCTTTTCCTTCAAGTCCCGCGGCAAGTGCGACATCCTCGATCCTCGCGTCATGCATAGAATCAGAAGTGGCTCCCCGAAGCATTTCTCCATGGCTCTGGCTGCACAGTTCGAAACTAAGGGCTGTGCAGAGGCAGAGACAAAGTAGCGAGGCTAGCGATTCGTCGCATGGCCAGATGTTTGTGCATTGTGCTTGCTCTTGGCTCTCTGGTGGTTCCTCTGCCATCTCAGACGATTTATGCAAGAAAGGAGAAGCTTGTAGAGAGCCGCTTCATTGTGCGTTACCCGGAAGGGTCAGGGGAGAGGCTCAATGAGTACGTGGCACGTTTGGAGAACATTCCTGGCATCCGCAGGGCTGATGCATTGAGACGCTTGGACATGGCTGTGGTGGTTTGCGAGGCCGGTGCTGACGAAGATTCTGTTTTGCAGGCCATCGATGCAGACAAGGATGTGGAGCTTGCAGTTCCGGATTCCTGGGTCTACGCATTTGGTGCTGATGCACAGATGTGCTCTGCAAATCCCGGCTGCCGCGCCTTGAACTTGCAAGGCAGCTGCTGCCCAGCCTCGGACGGTGCCAGAATGGCATGCTGCTTTGCGAAGCCTCAGAAGAGATCCACCCCACAAAGCGAGAGTACAATTTCCTTGCAAAGCGCAGCATGGTCGCGTTTTCAGTGAGGGTCTACAGTCTACCTCAGCAGGTTCCTAGTTGTAGTTCAGCCAGCATGGGAGATCATCTCTGCAAGTCTGCTTTGTCTCAGGTCCACGGCGGCTACATTACGGTGTCGCACTTCGGGCGTGTGGGTTGGCGAGGGAAGAAGACAGATCCAGATGCACAAATCCAACTTGAAGCACATCCAGATGGTTATGTGTCGCTGCGCTCCAGTCATGGAACATACCTTGTGACAAGTCCATCTGGACATCTGGTGGCATGGCATCGCGGACATCGAGACGCTGATGATTGGGAAAAGTTCAAGCTTATTTACAACACCGATGACACAATTTCCCTTCGCAGCAAGGTGTCCGACAAGCATGTCAGTCGGGACAATTCTACCTCAGACATGCTTTCAGCCACAACGGATAGAGTTGAGATAAGTGAGCGGTTTATGGTCACCATGACTCATGGCAAAGATACCCTGGTTCCCAATGACCCACGGCTTTCGAAGCTGTGGGCCATCGATCACTTTGGTGATCGTGACATGGACGCAGTTGAGGCATGGAAAATGTCTTCGCGGTCAGTCATGGAATCAGCACAGCCTGTTGTGGTTGCGGTCATTGACACCGGAATTGACTACACGCATCCGGATTTGCAGGAGTCCATGTGGGTCAATCCAAACGAAATTGCTGGCAATGGCATTGACGACGATGGAAACGGCATTGTGGATGATGTGCATGGGGCAGACTTTGCAAACAACGATGGGGATCCCATGGATGACCAGATGCATGGAACCCATTGCGCGGGCACCATCGCTGCCACTGGCAACAACAGCATTGGAATTGCCGGAGTTGCGTGGCAGGGCGTCCGTCTCATGGCCTTAAAGTTCCTAACGTCAACAGGCCCGGTTGCTGCAAAATGGACAGTCGACCGGCGCGTTTCGGGAATATCAACAGATTCGGCAGCACACAGGGAGCTAGGACAACTTGCTGTATACTCTTTCCAGTCAACATGCCTTCCAGCACTAGCCCAGAACTCTGTAGGCACTCTTCGGGCATTGGGGTTTGCTGCCGGTCATTGGTCATGGCGAAAGGTCGCTCTCTTTGTCTGTGCTGGGATTCTGCAAGCCTACCAGGTTTGCAAGCCGTCATTGCGAACCCTTGTTGTTTTATATGATCTGTGGCCTCTCAGACTTCGTCGAATCGCTGGATGTTTTGGGTGAGTGCACGTTTCAGGGTTCGAGCCAGTTCGGTGCTACAGTACTTACAGAGGCGAAAGGCGTGCCAGCCATTGCTTCTTGTGAATCTTGCAATGGCGTAGGATCATGTCGCCCTGATTTGCCGTGATATGCCCTGCCTGTTCAGTCTGTTTCCCGAAGGTGCCACTGCGCTTCTGTGATTGTGCTTGTTGGAATTATCGGAAATATGTTGATCCGCACTGCAGGTGGAGGCCGCACATCCGATGCCGTGAAGTCGTTGAACTATGCAGTTGCCATGGGTGCCCAGATCCTGAGCAACTCTTGGGGTGGTAGTGGCTCATCTTCTGCTCTCCGAGTGGCCATCGAGAGGTCCGAGCATGCTGGAGTGCTCTTCATGGCAGCTTCCGGCAATGACGGCCTGGACAATGATGAGGTGCCGAATTTCCCGGCAAACTACCCCAACGAAAACATCATATCTGTGGCTTCAACCACGCAGAAAGGAGACTTGTCTGCCTTCTCCTGCTATGGCAAAACCACGGTAGATGTTGCTGCTCCGGGAAGCGACATCTACTCGACCATACCGGGCGGAGACTATGCATCGCTCAGCGGCACATCCATGGCGACGCCACACGTCAGTGGCTTGGCCGCTCTAATTTGGCTCTACCGGCCCGAGCTGGCGGTGAGTCAGGTCAAGGACATCATCCTTCGCTCGACGGTTCCAGAGAAGAGTTTAGAGAACGCTTGCGTGACGGGTGGTCGGATCAATGCTCGCCGTGCCATGGGCCTGGCTTCGATTTACCCAGCACCAAGGCCTCCAATCCATGCACCTAAACAGGTTCGTTTTGCTGACACAAACCCCGGTGTTGGCCGCATCGGTGGTAGTGTCATCATATCTGCCCCCGACGATCAAAGCGACATCGAGTACTATGGTGTGCACTTCCTTTCCTCGGCTGGTGTTCTCATGGAAAGCATCGGACAAGCCAATGTCTCCGGCCATAAAACTTTGAGCATCAAGTTGGACAACTTGACGATTCCATTGTTTGCCAAGGGCATGGCTGCGGTTGCAGCAAACAGTAGTGGGAGGATGCCAGTCACAGCAGCTGCGGCCACCCAGATGGTTTTGGCATCGTTTTCGCTAGCTCATATCAACCTTTGTCTGATCATGGTCCATGATGACACTCATGCTGCGAGTTTCGTCAGGTGTTGGAGATTGAGGACTACGGCGTTCCCGAGGTGCCAGCAGCAAGAGAAAAGAGATGAAAAGAGATGAAAAAAGGTTCGGAAGTAAAAACGAGACGAAGCGATTAAGTCTAGCATGAGCTCAGGCTGGCCCAGAGGACGTGTCATTCGGTGGTGACGCAGATCCAGTGGCCGGCAAAGTGGGCGGCAGCATCAAGATCCGTCGGGCATGCAATGAGAGAACCGAGCCTCATCGAGCATTTTCGGGCGGTTTGCGCATGGGGTTCCATTACACCACTGCGCTGCAAGTAGGGCTGGTGTGGATGCCATAGGGCCTAAACTCGGCTAATGTATCAAACGCCAGGGCTTCTTTGCACAACGTATGTGACAATATGTGATGCTACGCCTGCTAGGTAAGCCACTACAACATCTATTGGCAGCATGCTTCCGAGCGTGGCGATCTGCTTGGCTCGGTTCCAGCAATTGGATATCTCTCCCCTTCATGCACAGGTGACTGCTCGCTGCTGAACATGAGCTATGAGAATGGAAAGCACCTCTATCACCGTGATGCTTACGGCAACAACGAGCTCGCAGTGATTACCTTCAGTGGCCCTGCCACTGTGAAAATCACAAGCTTCTTGACGGAAAGCTACTACGACTACCTGGAAATTGCCGGAACACAAATAAGTGGAACAGACCTGGAGCTTCCCAAAGTCATTCATGTGCCAAGGGGAGATCAGACACTCACGTGGCTCAGTGACCACAGCGAGGGCGAAGGTGGCTGGAGCCTTGAGTTATGGCAGGATGGTGAGGAAGCACGATTTTCCCTGCCAACCTCGAGGGTTTCAAGCGCTGATATTAAAGTCGTTTCGGCCTATGGCCGGACAGAGCTCTCCTCAGAGGCCATGTCCTGCCCGATTAATGACTTTGATGCAAACTCCATGCCCCCCTCCAGAGCCTACTTGCCCGATTCGGTGGAGTTCAATGATGAAAACGTGGAGGAAGGCGTCATTAGCGGAGCAATCACGTTGAGGCTGCCCGAGGTTCGTCTGCAAGGCATCGTCTCGTCCTATCGTGTGCTGCTCGCTGACAAGGCCGGTGTCGAAATCCCAGGTTTCAGTTGGACCAAAGACCTGGGCCACGAGAGCACCGACAGAGATACTCTGCAAGTACAGTTGCCTGGAGAAGGCTTGCAAGTGCCAGATGCGGCTGCTTCCGTAGTTGTACATGCTGTGAATCCGTTCGGGGTGAGCGCGGCGACTAAATCTACGAAGCTCATGGACATTGTCCGAAGTGTGCCGGTCTTTGCCAACTTTTCTGGCGATGAAGACCCAGTCGAAAACCAAATCAAGGGTACCGTGACCATTCTGCCAGCTGCGAATCCAAAAAACATCATTGCATACACGGTTTATCTCTCCACCGGCCATGAGAAAGTATCTTTGATTGGACGGGTAGCGGCAAGAAAACCAGGAGTGGTGCGATATGCTTTGCATGCAGCCTTCAGACCTGGACAGAGTCTCATGGTCGTGAGTTCGTATGCAGACAAGGATATGGAGCATGGTGTCGTTATCGCTGTTGAGGATTTTGTCGAATCCTTTGCTGGCTACGGTTGGTACGGTTGGGGGGGATATGGAGACAGCACTGGGAACTCAGGGGTCGCTGGCGGCAACCGTCGATTGGACAGGGGCGGAAGGGTTCAGGAGCCATGGCTGAAGCACGATCGTAAACCTGGCGCAGGTGATGTTCAACCGCTTTGGTCTGCAACCGACTCGCGAACCCTTCCGCTTCCTGTCTCAAACGCGGGTCGCATGCCTCTTGGCAACAGGCAAGGCATTTTTGGCACCGTCACAATTCCGGGCTTTCTTAAGCCGATCAAACTGCAGACCGACGGCCAGGATCAGTTTGTTCCACCCAGCGTCCGAGAGAGACGGATTATTGCTGAAGTGTTGTCCGAGTCGCTGCCTGGAGTGCAGCATGGACAAGTCAAGCTTACATTAGGACGTGCCTTTAAAGATGCTTCCACTTTGCCTGGAGTGGGCTCTGATCAGCCAGCCGTACGGGTGATGCCGGGGGCAGCGAGCCTTGTGGTTGACTTCGAAGTCCTCGCACCCCACCTGGAGCCAGAGGCCTTGCAGCAATTCTTTGATCGGGTGGAGGCCAAGCTGATACTGCTCAGCAGCGGAGGAGCAGCAACTGCTCGCCTGTCATCTGCATTAGCTAAACGCTTGGAGCCGTTGGGGTACCAATTTGCCGCAGGCTTTCGAGTCTTCATGGGGGAGCCACAGCAAGTAACGCCAAAAATGCAACCAGGTCGCCTGCTTCAGGAGGCCCATGAAATCGGGGAGGCGTCCAAGAAAGAACATGTACAGACAGCTTGGACAACATCCGCTCTTGTGTTCTTGATGTCCGTGGCTGGATGGGCGGCTTTTCTGGCAATGGCCGTGGGCCGCGCCAGACGAATTAAAAATGGGAGTGAAGCCGACACAGCCTTGGAATCTGTACAAGTCCACAACGCTGACAGGGCAACCGGCTGAGTTCTTAGATTCTCGGTTGCCGCTGCCAGAAATCCTTGAAATTCTTTGGATCTCACCAGAAGGTCACATTGCTTGTCGTCGCAGTATAAACCTGCGACCAGTACACTTGACGTGCATGCATGCGCAGCATTGACTTTAAGAAATGTGTGAAGAATTCGGTGCGCCCAGTACTGGGCCGCATGTGAATGAACCGGGCTTTTGAATCCGCTACTAAACCGCGGATGTGTTTCGTGTCTCCATATGTTGCAGCGGTGGAATACTTCAAGCCGCTATTCGGTTTGCATGCAACTGTCTCATCAGATGCTCTTCAACGAAGGCGAACAGTAGGTTGCTCTAAGTACGTGGCTCTAGATACTTCGCAAAGAGCAGTGCCCGACAAAGGGCTCTAGAGTTGCCTCCACAAAGGCCATGCACTGCATCTCCTTTTACATTGCCCGTTCCCAAGCAACATGAAGAAGTGTCCAAAGATGAAAATCGTGGCAGATCGGCGGCTTTTACTTGTGTGAAATGGACGGAAGCTTCACGGGAACAGGCTGGGTAGGTTGCCACAAGATGCCATATCGACCCTTGGCAGCTTCAGAGCCAGACCATAAGGTGAAATGAGTTGCGTGCAGCCGTACACATCCCGCCTTGAGTACATGCAGCGGTGTTTCTAGGATGCCTGCACTCGCTTGCTGTTTTGGATTCCGCCCAGCATCTCTAAAGGTAAGACCGAGTTGAAGCTGCCTGTAGTCAGACTGCTTTGCAGGCACATGCAGTGCAGCAAGCGTGTGAACGGAAATGCGAACGAGGTCCTTGTAAATTTTTCTTAAGCCCCCTGTCATTCCGGATGCTCTTGCCACCACTGCGGCCATGGATGTGATCCGACCTCGCATCTCGCCGTACAGGGGCTTTCATGCCATTACGCGGCTAGAAGCTCTCGAAGGCTTTCAAACTACACACCGTCTCCTCAGATGCTGAGAGTCTTGAGCTCCCCTGCACAGGCTCCAGGCTGCAGCAGCAGCGCCTGCACGAGACACACGGTGCAGACTGCAGAGGCTGCAACTTGGTTTTAGCTGCTGCCTGGTCGAGAACTGTTGCAGCAAGGGTCTTCCGCAGGATATGGACTTCCCGTTGCGGTCGTGACAGTGTCCGCTCTGGCAAGACATCGCAGCTTGCGCCGCGGGTTCTGTTGCCTTGACCTGCTTCTGTGCCTGTGCGCGAGGAATTCGGAGCCTTTTGCAATTGCATCCTTCGTGCCAGGTGGTGCCGTAACTGGAGAAGTGAAGATCATGAGACGTGCTGCCGCCGCCGAAGACTGTTGCTAGCTTTGATTCATCTTCGATTCATGCATTGCGGGCCTGCGCAGATCTGTCTTGCTGGGGGTTGCTGGGCATAAATCTACCCTTAGCAAGCCCAGCACTCGGCTGCTCGGCCGCTCGCAAACTGAGAAGAGCGTCGTTTTCGTGTGCGACAGCACCACATTAATGAAGGTTGCTGCGCCTGTGAATCAAGAGCAACAACTGCCTTCCGGAAAACCCGACACGCCAATCCGGTAACCTCCATCCTTGCCCTAACTTGTTTCTCCCTGACTGCGACTTCTTTCTCCTTATAACTGTGACTTTGTTTCTTTGGCAGACTGACGGGGCAAGGAACGGGTGCTCGCAAAACCCAGCACGTGGCTGGAAGGTGAACAAGGCTTCCTGTCATTGATTGTTTCCTGGAGACCTTGCACGCCCAAAGGGACTGATTGAGGTGAATCTTCGTGGGCCGAAACAGTTTGGAATGTCGATGTCGCTTCCCGTAGTAAAGACCTGACACCTCTACGCCCTTGAAAAGAGTGCGGGGTGAATCTTCACGAGCTCTATCTCCGTTGTATTGTTCAAGAGAACGTAGTTTGTCATATCGATTCCACTCCCCATAAAGGCCGTGTACTACCCTGTACGCCATAACCGCAAAAAAAGGATTTGTGTGAATCCTGCCTTGCGATGTATGCCACACCCTAAAGCAGTGAATGGTTTGAGATTTGGTGAGCTAAGCCTCCGTTTTGTTGTTGATGCCACTTTCGTGCCCTCAGGAGTGACTGGTACAACAGTGGCTGGGGTGAAATCTTCAGGTGGACCTCTGTCGTATTGTCGTTTGGAGTGAAAGAATCGTGCATGGCGAAACGAAAGAGGCTGGTTGCCCAAAGAACGAAAGATCCAACAAAATGTGATGGATGACAAGCCTAAAACTCCAAAGCAGTGGGTGGTCGTGGTGCGCCAAAGTTGGCAACAAAAGCAAACAGTTGCTACAGGCCCGAGCATGAACAGGAGAAGATTCGGTGGACAGCCGCCAGTCCTAAACGGCTAAACACTGATTCCAAAATAGTGCTTGTACCCACCCCGGACCCACCCCCAGGACACCACACTAGCAGCTAGCAGAAGCCGCTTGAAACTCAAGCCGATCACCCATTCATGCAACATGCGGGAAGACCGGAAGACCCATGTTAAACCGAGACTTTCTGAATTCGTGTGCACTACCTTTACGGCTTGTTTTTGCGGTGCTCGACGATTTCACCCAACGGCCCAGAATTGAAGACTGCACCGACGCTCTCACTAGGCTTCACTCGGCTGCACATAGCAACTGCAAGACGCAACAGGCTCAGCCCGAAAGCTCAGCGAGCATTCCGCCGCTTTGGGCCCCATTGGTGGACAGAAGGCAAGCCCCGCAAACCGCTCGCCAAAGTTGAGTTTCTCAAGACTGTGAGAACGGCAGGGCACGCAGTCGATTCATCACACATGATCCAGTGTGTAGAAGGTGAGGAGCAAGCTGTAGTCGACAACTGCAACCATGGCGAACCGTATAACAGTGAGCAACGGTAAACGTGAGGATGCATTAATTAAGAACAAGTAAACAGAGTAAACAGACAAATGCACAACTGGGTGTAGCAACAAGTGTGTGGTTGCACGAACGACTAACACAAGTAAAAAAAAGGTCAGGCGTCCGGTGCGGCGCTCCCGCCCCCGCCCTCCTCCCCCAATGGTATGGTATGGTCTGGTAAGGGGGGGGGTGGGGCGTGTGCGGAGAGGGGTCGGGGTTGGTGGAGCTGCAGCTGGAGACTCGGGTGCGGCTAAAGGGCGGGGATCTTACGCAAGCCCTGCGCAAGACATAATCCCTGAACCCTATGACGTAGCCCGTGCTCTTGTTTTTATTAACCTTACCCTCTACTTTAAACCTTACACCCAGCCCTAGACTCCGCCTAAATGCAGGCTTTAAGCCTAAAGCAGAACAGAACATAGACCGTCAACCCTAACGAACCTACACCCCAAACCCTCCCTAGGCCCTTGTCCACTCGAAGCCTTATACCTGTCCACCCTAAACCCAAAACTCAAAAGCTTGAGCTAAACCCTAAACCCCAAAACCCCACGGAGCAAGAGGGACCCCGCCGGGGGCATCCTGGACCATGGGGTGGGCGGAGGGAGCGACCGCGGAGCGCGTAACCGTCTGTCAGCGTGACGGGTCCAACATGTCCCTTACATGGGTTGGCACAGATTCACCAAAAATTGATGGCCATGGCATTGATGTAAGCTATCGGCTGGAGAGCTGGAGAGGGGCAATGTGCTGCGGAAGCTCGAAGTTTGCTGTATGGCAAAGTGAAACTCAAGCGTCTCCGATTCCATGCTTCGTGGTTTCGCTAATTTATGATGGACAGATACGACCGTACGAAAGACAATCACAAGAAGCTGGCGATTGGAATGATGCACACTATTGCGAGTCTCGTGTTTCTAGATGTGAAGTTTATGCAGTGAACCGGAAGGTTTCCAGCTACAGGCAGGAACATACGGCGCAGGCAGTATCAAAGGCATGCATACAAAAGGAATAAGAACATCTGCAAAAGGCAATCAGGAATAGTAACAGCTGTCGCAACTGCGGCGACTACGCCAAACGAGTCTGCAGTGGCTGAGCGCGCCATACACCATTCAGATGAGAGGAGACCGTGGGTGCGGGGAAGAAGCTGTGTGGAGGGGCCCAGGGTTTCACTCTGCATGACCCGAACTTCCGGACAAGCTTTCTTTGCAGTTTTGTCGATCCATGTCCCGCCATAGCAGCAGTTAGGTGAAGTCCTGGAGCTCGTGAACACAGATTTGTGCGATGGAAGCCCTCCGATCGATCCACCACGAGAAGAGTCGCTAAGCTTAAGCCAGCCTGCATGGGGAGAGGCGTTTTCTGCAACTGCAGTGCCACGAGGGTAGACACGGAGTTTGTGCCTCCCTCGGACCTGGACCTTTTTCTGCGAGCTGCTCGTGGGGACCCAAGCTCTGAGTATTACCATGGGCTCGCGGCATGTTTTTCGCTGAGTTTTTCTGCACCAGGGTATTACACCCAGTGCTCGGCGCTCCCCGGCGAAACAGTTTTGGAGTGAGCTATGAGACAGAATACATCATAAAAGAGCATGCTTGGGAGTCTTCGTCGCCTGCATTCGAAAGCCGAGGCTGCTCTTGAGCACCGTGTCTGTATCGTCTTGACACATGTCGGGATGCGATCTCGAACAGTGGCCTCGAGCACCAAGGCTACGTTCCAGTCTATTTGAAGAGCGCCTGGAGCAGAGATCATGACGCAACGAGCGTGGTCCCCAGTCCGTCGAACGTGCGCAGGACTTGAGGGCATTCCGGTCAATGATTGAGGTGCCCTGGAGGAAGAATGGCATCAGAAGCTGCTCATATGCGATAAGACTTTGAAGCTGTCTTTTTACGTCTGGTTCGGCAGCAGCAGTCAGGAAGACCTTTTCAAGTTTCGTCTCGTCCCTGTGGTACAGCGTGTCGCGGGCTACGGCGTGGACTCTGAGGCATGAAGCAGGTGCCAGGAAAATTGAGGGACTCATCAAAGAGCTGAAAGGCTTCTATGTGCGGCTCGGATGCACAACCGTTTCTTGATGCCGCCGCGGTCTGACACAGCCGCCAAGCACAACTGGTTGAACAGCTGGTTATTCGAGCGTCTGGAAGTTGCTCGAGTAGCTACAAGCTGTGCGAGGGCTGAAT